GAATACTGTTTCAATTACGACTTTGTTTACAAGAACAGAATCAAGTTGAAATATTGATCAGGTTACTCCTGGACAACAATGTCATACTAATACCAATAATTTTAGAAGCAACATGTGAAAGAAAATCTCTCCACACGAGCAAGCCACATACAGGCTGCATCAAGCTATGTACTCCCAGGAAGCTCATATGGTATTTAGAATGTTCCATTGGCACAATGAGCAGGGGTAATTATGATGTAGCGTCTTGAGCACCACTCCGGGTGGATACATGCGCTTTGTAAATACGCACTATTATTATTATTCGATTGACTGATTTTTTTTTGTCTTCTCTGGTCGTACAGAGGAATTGACGTGTTCTCCTGACGAGTTTGACTGTGGGCATTCAGTCTGCATAAGTAATTCTTCGAAGTGTGACGCAGTAACTGATTGTTTGGATGGAAGTGATGAATTCGATTGTGACAGTAAGAACATAATTACCATGCTGTTAAGGAAAAATATTAATAGTTATCCCGCGAGCACGAGTGGAACACGGAATTATGTAGTGCGTCTGTGTCCCACATACCTCGAGGCCGAAGACCGAGTGGTATGTGGAACAAAGACGCACTACATTGTCCGTGTTCCACGAGTGCGAGCATGTTAACGAATTTATCTTCAAGCAAACTTGACGCACTCAAAAGATTTTCAGCGGTTATCCTATTACACGTGCGTGTAATGGCGTGCGCAACTTGGAATGGCGCAATACACAGAGTGCGGTATGAACCGTGGCCGTGCGGAATGATTATATGTAGCACGGTTTGTTGACATGGATCGACCAATCAGGATCGAGGATTCAAGTTTACTTGAAGGCAATACTGCATATCATTGTTACACAACTTACCAATTACATTTTTAACGCATTTTTGGGTCAACACAATTGTGCGAACAAAATATATGATAACAAAGATGAAAGTAAGAAAGTGTGAAAGTTTAATGAACTAGCCAGTTTGTTTGTCCATTTAATCTGGCACTTTGCTAATATGGTGTTTTGTGTGGTGGCTTTAAAGGGACATCGCGCATATAAATTTAATTTAATCTGGCACTTTGCTAATATGGTGTTTTGTATGGTGGCTTTAAAGGGACATCGCACATATAAATTGACGCAAATATTGACGCCAATATTCACGACATGGACCCAAGTCGAAAATATTGACGCCAATATTCACGACATGGCCTCCATGTCTCAAATATTGACGCCAATATTGACGCCAGTATATACGATAATTATGGTCTCCATGTCGCAAACATTGACGCCAATATTGACTCAAATATTCACGACAGGCCCAAGTTGTAAGCCCACTCATGCGTGACTTTTTTTCACAGCAACTTAGGTGTCGTGAATATTGGTGTCAATATTGGCGTCAATATTTGCGACTTGAAGACAATGTCCTGAATATTTGCGTCAATATTGGCGTCAATATTTGAGACTTGGAGACCATGTCGTGAATATTGGCGTCAATATTGGCGTCAATATTTGCGACTTGGGTCAATGTCGTGAATATTGGCGTCAATTTAGGGGTCAATATTTGTGACTTGGGTCCATGTCATTAATATTGGCGTAAATAGTTGCGACATGGAGGCAATGTCGTGAATATTGGCGTCAATATTGGCATCAATATTTGCAATTTGGATACCATGTCGTGAATATTGGCGTCAATATTGGCGTTAATATATGCGACTTGGGTCCATGTCGTGAATATCGGCGTCAATATTTGCATCAATATTTGCGACCTTGGTCCATGTCGTGAATATTGGCGTGAATATTGGCGTCAATATCTGCGACATGGATGCCATGTCGTGAATATTGGCGTCAATATTGGCGTCAATATCTGCGACGTGGAGGCCAAGTCGTGAATATTGGTGTCAATATTGGCGTCAATATTTGCGACTTGGAGACCATGTCGTGAACATTGGCGCCAATATTTGCAACTTGGGTCCATGCCCTCAATATTGGCATCAATATTGGCGCAAATATTTGCGACATGGAGGCCATGTCGTGAATATTGGCGTCAATATATGCGACTTGAAGACCATGTCATGAATATTGGCGTCAATATTGGCGTCAATATTTGCAATATGGGTCCATGTTGTGAATATTGGCGTCAATATTGGCGCATATATTTGCGACATGGAGGCCATGTCGTGAATATTGGCGTCAATATTAGCGTCAATATAGATATGTGCGATGTCCCTTTAAAGCCACCATGGTTTTGTCAGCAAACATAAGAATATATTAGGTTTTTTTCAGTGTAATCATAAGATTAACCAGGAATGCTTTGTGTGGATTTTTCATAATGCTGACCCAGTCAACACAGATAACTCTCATTTTCGAATTATGATCCAAACGCTGGAAATCGTAATATTTAAAGAACATTAAGTAGGAGGTATCGTAACGACTATCGTTTACTAAATATCATCAATCCATTTCTTTTCCCCATCAGGTTAATGTTGGTTGGTTCTAAACGGAAGGGGGGGGGGGGGAGGGTAAGGATCATTTTAAAATGAATTATCGGTTTCATTAGGTGTCACCACAGCGTGAGCATGGATTGCACAAGATATAACGAAAACTTGAAGGAATACAGTTTTTCTTTCTTTGTCTTCAGATCGCAATATATTTCTCGGTGCGAACGAAAACGCCCGGATTACTTCTCCGTTTTATCCAAGCTACCCGACAAACCTTAATACAACCTGGACCATACAGACAGAGGCGAATCGAAGGGTTCTAGTCACTTTCCACGATTTCTCAGGTTCTTCTCAGCGCGGCACATTCAAGGCAGGGGACAGCGGCGCTAACGACACGTTCTTTGTTTCCCACCGGTGGAGGTCTCCACCAAATCTACTCTCCGATAACCGGACGATGTGGCTTAGTTTGGAATCTGGCAAGAATTGGGTTCGGGGATTTGTCTTGACTGCTTCTAGTGTACCATCAACTTGTAAGCACCATTACTTTCTGTTTTTTATTGTGTGTTTGTGGATTTTCTGTATTCTTGAAGAGATGAAGCATACCTTTCTTGCAGAGTACCCTCAACATTTTAAATAAGTAACGGATCGAAACCGCACATTAGCAATACAGAGTTTGGAGAATATCACGTTAAAAGACAACTTTGTGTAATCCAGTTCGTTGGTGTGACGTCACTGCAGTTTAAACCACGTCTCCTGCACATATCCTCTATTGATGGTTTAAAATACATGCATAGGAAACTTCATTTTTAAAAGTACTTCTTTTACGTTCATAGTTGCTTATGTTACCATTTTACCATTGCAATTTTCACAGAACAACTTACCTTCCTAGGTCAACATTGAATCATAAACGGTTTTATAAACGTAAAGGGTAGGTGAAGGGGGTTGAAGAAAACTTTTCTTTAATGTACAGTTTTACCAGTTTAATACATAATAATTGTTATGGTTATTATCTTAATTGTTCATTTTAACGAACCTGATAACATACATTATCATGTTCATTTTACTATTTTATCATTTTAATGGCTGTTTTTTCTCTCACTTTTTTAATGTTTTGAGCTGATATTTTGTATCCTGTATAGAGATTTTTAAATAAATAATTAAAAAAATAAAACATTAACTAGCATTGGAACAACTGAAATTGGAAGTTAAGGCAACTTAATCTAATGGGCGTTATTAATCAGTGGTGGGCGAGCTTGTAAAACTAACGAAGTCACTAACGAACCGGATAATTTCACCAAATGTAACGGAAAATAAATATCTGATGCGGCTCGTCCAGTTGTTGAATAACCCTATAAACCTAGCTTAAGGAGGATGGAATTTAACCGACTACTTTTGCCGAATAGAACACAGATTTGTAAAAATGAAACTGAAATAAACAAATCAGGATTCGTCACTTCGTTAAGTTCGTCAAACAAAACCACATAGTATTATACATTATGTACTTATTGTAAATAACAAAGTGTGCAGAGAACATAATACAATCTTGAGAAATCAAAAAATTCCCCAATTGCAGTTTTAACAAGAACCGTTTCAAAAATACTGGAAGCCCCCGGAGTGATTTGATTAAGTAGACTTTGATTTGAAAAAGAATTTTTTTCCAAGAAATGTACCAAATTTTGTTTAATAACGAATTAAGAACAATGTTAGAGGTAGGGCTTAGCTCTTGCTATCCAACCTCAAATTGCAGTATACCACAGAACTACAACACTGTTGAGGACACCATTTCAAGCTTCAAACTGTTGCCGTATTGACACTTTCAACATAATTATTTGAATGTCCGCTTATTTTATTGCAGGACATCAAATTAAAGATGTTTGCCCAAGGATGTTTGTATTTTACGAAACTCTTCTGCAACCTCTGGAAAAAAGGCTTTCATTTTGTGCACAATTGAACCCGCCCTGCGAGGCCGAGTTATTGTTGGGCACCAATAATTCGAATTGTGTAAAGTTATTAAATGCAATGTTTTTCCTTTGATGATTCATTCAAAAGCGCGCTTTTTGGGGGGGGGGGGGGGTAGGAAAAATCAATTATAAACACAAATCCTTCTTCGGGGTGAAATTCGAAATCAAATGGGGTTTGCATATGTTAAAATGACTAATACATGTAATCAATATCTTGATGTCGCATGCATTCCTGTATATCGACCCAAGTTTTAACTGTTTTTTACATCAGAAATAAGCAACAATTCTTCATTGTACCTATAACAGTGTCCATTTTATGTGCATTTTTCTTAAAATTTAGACACCATACCATGTTCGTGGCGCAACTTTGATTGCGGTCACTCTGTCTGCATTGATGGGAGTTGGCGATGTGACGGTGAACTGGACTGTTTTGACGACAATGATGAAGAAAATTGCGGTAGGCCTATGTTTGGTAGAAATTATGTGGGTGCTGTTTTTAATTTAAAAGGTAATTAAAATTTAGATCAATGTAGTTAACAGGGTTAAAGTAAACTAAAACCCCCCAAAACAAAAGAGAAGGAATGTTTCCGTTTCCCTTGGATGAGATGCTTGTCCAGCGCAGGCTACTCCCCAGCTAACGCTGTTACCAACTCCTTGGTTGTAAGAGGCAAGTGGGGGTTAAGTGGCTCGTCCAAGGACACAATATATGGCCAATAGCGTGCTTCTATCCCCCTGATAATGATGTGCAAACCCGACCCGAAACCGACCCGACCCGAAACCGACTTCGGGTCGGGTCGGGTCGGTTTGTCCATCATTTCAGTTGGGTCGGGTCGGTTTCGGTTTTGCATTTTCATTTTCGGGTCGGGTCGGGTCGGTTTAGCCATCTTTTGAAAAACCGAAATAAACCGAAATAAACCGAAACAGTTGAGAAAGTCAGGTGATGCAATTTAATTGACAGTAACTGTGACCGCAGCCCATTGTGTGATTTGGCCGCCGAAGGCACTATCAAGTTCCCACGGAATTCTCCAGTCGGATTGGACTGACAGTAAAATAGATACATTGTAACAGTTTTTGATGATACCTTGCGTTTGTTCAATAAGAGCAGTTACTCTCGATCAACCAACTGAGTATGACAGAGAGAGACGTTGGTTTTGCAAAAAAAATCATGCCAGGTGGGTAACATTTTTATGCGTAAGGGCAGGCAAAAAAAGTAATTACTTTGTCCTACCTTATTTTTAGTCGTGTCGGGTCGGGTCGGGTTTGTTTGAGGGAGTGAAGATCGGTTTCGGTTCGGATTCAGTTTATGTCTCTATGTTTCGGTTCGGTTTGGCCTGGTCAACCCGAGCCGATGCACATCATTAGCCCGGACCCTCTGATCGTGAGTCACGAACCCCGACCACTAAGCACAGGCGTAGATCCGGGGGGGGGGGGAGTTCAAAAACCCCGCCAGCTGTGTCTATTTTTTTCATAGAAAATCTCCAAAATTACGGACAGAGCCACCATTGTTAAGGGGTACTTGTACACTATATTCTGTAAACAATCGTCCGATTTGAACAGCGCCCCCATTGAAAGTAAGGTACGAGCCCCTCTATTTTCCAATTTAGGTCTTCTTGTGTTTCATCCATGAATAAAACTTTTTTTCGAAAATTGATTTTGCTGGTTACATTATGTTTCCTCAGATGGTCATTTCTGCCTCACACTACGACCTTCATAGTTGTCTTTTTTTCTCCATAGATAGCTGTGTCGGTCGATGCTTTTTAGACGGTCCTCGGTTCGGAGATTGTTGGTGCGACGCTGCTTGCGAATTGACTGGAGACTGTTGTTCAGACTACATTGAACATTGCCAGGGGGCACATATGCCAACTACTACTGCACAACCAGGTCAGAGGCAATTGTATCGGAGACACTCAGCATTTGAATTACACAATCAGTACAGATATTGATAAATAATTACATATGTACGCAAATATGAATGCAAAAGTGTGAACAATACAACTTCGCACTTGTTTAACGTTAAATCCGGCCAAGAAAACGGTTGAGGGTTTCATGGGGTTGAAAAATGCCGAATGGAAGTGTCAACCACGTCCGCATAGAGTGCGTTGATTTACATAGAAATTGATATAAATACATAGATTTGGGGAAGTTTTGAAACGATTTCTTCCAGACTTGAAGGTCAGCTTTACCAGTAACTAGTAATGACATTTCGGTATCGATGACGGCGATTTTTTTCACTGACATGAAGTTAGAATTTCTTGTTCCGTTATTGTTTAACATTACAATTATGCTGAGCATAACTTTTGAGAAACACAACGTTCAAAATGCCATGTTTTTGGGGGTGCATGAATTTCACTGCTCCGTTATAGCATCTAAGTACGTAATCGGATTAGCTTTGCTCAACAACGGCAGACGCTTTGCATTAGCAACCATAGGGCTATACTAGCCAAGCACCTGGTTAATTAGCAAACCCACTGTGCTGTCTGTCATACAGACCACTTGTGCGGGGTGCATGTGGACGTGGTTGGGAACCAATCAACAAGGCCTTCCATCCAATTTACACTTCAGCCACTTTTTTGTTTGGTATAACCACGTATGAAACACTTCTCACTACTTTGAGGCCTGTACTTTGAACCATTTTTTTTGCCCATACTTCTTTGTGTAACAGTTACAGTATAGAGTAACTAAATACATGGTTTGTTAATATTGTCTTGTGTTTCATACATCCTGTAGCTGTCGATGAATGTAACCCGGATGCACCGTTGCACAACTGCGATGACAATGCAATCTGCAATGATACCTTCGAGGGTTTCTCATGCACCTGTAGACCAGGGTATGCAGGAAACGGCGTGTATTGCACGGGTAACGTAAAACACACATAGTTTGTTATCCCAATTGCATGGTTTCATTTTGAATGGAACACAATGCATTATAATTGTTAACAGTACTTGCAGTCTGAAGATGGGATGGGAGATAACAACCTCCAGAAACATGTTGTCATGCAGGCATTGATAATAACAGTCACTGATAACATCAGATAATAAATCAATGTTCTTGTACAGAAATGAGATCAATTCATTCACCTCCAACCGACTATAGTTTAAATTGTAGAGGGTAGAAATCTAACCTTTCAAAAATCGTAAAAATTTGCACAGTACAATGTACGTTCAAAACACTGCAGACATTGTTACTTCTTTTAGTTATCTAAGTTTAACCCTAAAGGGGCCGGGTTATTTTGACCATCTCTCAGCCGGGGGAGGGGGGGGGGGGCGGATTGCGCCCACCCCAAGATCTCGGCCATCGAGTGACGAACAATTTTGACACTCGGTACATACATAGAGCAACTCTTCATAAACATACCAAAGAGGAAATTTCATGACCAAAGGTCAAAGGATTTTGGAATGATGGCTAATTAATTATTCATATGTATGAATAGCAATTCTGGTCCGTGTACACGACGTATATGGGAAAATTCAGTTTTCACGGCGCCTAGCGCCGGAAAAAGTTTTCGCTGCGCGACAACCCCTGTTCCGATTTTTATGTTTTTGGTGTCAAAAGATGCGCAAGGCTCAAAGCTAAAAAGTCATAAGAGCTCAGGTTGCGAAACATTTTTTTAAAGGCTATCGCGGAAAAAGTCTAGGGAGGCGGATTCCGCCCCGGCCCTTTTTTTGGTTAAACTATATGTTATCTTTTAAAACTGTTATGAACTACCAACTAACGGAATTCACCGAAAGTTAGAATCTGAAAAAACCCCAGTCCCCTAGAGCGACAAATGTTTCCAATCTAGCTGGATTTTCGTCAAATGCAATGATGATACAATTTTCAGTGATTTTCTATTTGTACGGTCATTTCCAGATGTGGAACCGCCCAGCATCACTTGCCCTGCCGACTTCACAGTCTACACGGACTGCAGGAAGAGCTACTCAACGGTTTCCTTGCCAGACGTCCAGTCTGCATCCGACAACTCCGGCCAGTATACCATCAGCATAAACATTGGCGGCTCGATGTACGAGGTTGGCGACACCACGACTCTCAGTCTGGGAGCATCTCCTCACATGGTCCGCTACACCGCTACTGACAATTCCAACACTGCAGACTGTGATACAAACGTGACGGTGGCAGAAGTTTCCGGTAGGTGCAGCTTGACGTGTGCGATAATTTATATTTAGTAACGGTTGGTATAGCGGTAGGGCACAGGATTCATGATCGTGAGATTGTTGGTTCGAGCCTCGCCGTGGCCATGCGTGTTGTGCCCTTATGTAAGGCACTTTTAATACCTAAATTACTCCTCTCAACCCAGGTGTTAAATGGGTACCGGCATTATTCACTGCTGGGTAGGTAACAGACTCGCTGTGGAGGAGGTGTGGCGATTCCCCAGTAGCATTTCATGGACTCGAGTCTGGCCCAATCGCTTCGTAAGAGAGATGGGCACTCCGTTCCTGTGAACACAGGTTCTTCGCCTTTAAAAAAATAAAGAACCCCAATGTATGCAATGAGTAAAAAGGCCCGAGAGCAGTGCTACAGTTACCTCATCATAAGGGCTTGTAAGAAAAGTGCGTTAACCCAGGAAATGCCTATTCAATGAATAGAGACCTGAAAACGAGACCTGAAAAGCAAGTAGCAACATTGGTAATTATACCGAAAAAACTTGTCAATATAATGGGCAAAACCTAGCTCCAAGTAAAGTTAGAGTTTGTTCCAGGTACTCTGGGAAAATCTTACACATGTCGCCATCAAATATTACATTACATTAAAAGAGTGTACATGGATATCATTACAACAGATGGAACATTCTGTGAAGAAACCGGATCCCCACCAAACTGCATCTGTAAGTCAAACGAAGGGCTCGACTGCACTTGTTTCTACAAAAACTGTGGTCATGACTGTTCTCGTAAGTAAACAAACAAAATTTGAAATTCATAAAACCAATAAGATGAATATTATACAAAATATGCAGGAAAGATCACACATACAAAAATAGTTTTGTGGAGAGCTCGTCAAGTCAGGGTGCTCCACTGCGAAAGTCTTGGAGAACATTTGTGTGTGTGTGTGTCAAATAACGTCCGTACTGTCATGGTAGTACAGTGCTTCTGAACTTGAAACGTGAAGTTAGCATAAAATAAAGCATAATACTTTAAAAGGGACACGTGAACGTGACTATAATATGACATTTAGTGTAATACATAGGCCTAGGTCATATTTAATTAATATGATTTTCATTGTGGAAGCTATATGTCACATATCCTTCCCCCAAATTATTTGTCCGCACTGCCATTATGTACTGTATATGTTATGTAAACAGAATCCGCTGAAGGAGTGGAATGTACAGGACCAGGCAAACCATATCCAAAGTGCACAGATGTTGATCTATGCGATCCTGGTTACTCAGGACCACGCTGTGATAGCGGTAAGTTTATTTCGTCCAAGGGTACAATGAGTTACATGCAATCAACCTCAATTAAGACAATCCTTGCCTGCAGTCTTACATTTCTTCCACTTCCATTTCATGCATTGGCTGGTACAAGAAGTGGGCTATGCCAAAAATGATGACGTCACTAAAATATTTATCTGTAACACATCCTTGTCTATTTGCATACCAAGTTTCAAACCAATCGAACTGAGACTTCCGAAGTTATAGTGATTCGAAAAATACACACTAAATATGACGTGACATACGATGTCGTTATCGTAGCGAAAATCCTTGGGGTCCATTTTCGGGTAGTGGTCAAAAGTCTATCATACATATGAAAGTGCTATAGAGCACAGTTTGAAGAAAAACGTGTACAAAGCATGTGGAGAAAATATGCGCATTTAATGTGAAGTAACAAGACACCTGATGACGTCATCGTGACGAACATATTCAGCATACATCTTCAGGTAGTGGTCTAAGTAGTACCAAATCTGCAGTTGATCAGATTGAGGAAAGTGCCAAAATTTATGTGAAGAAGAAAGAGGTGTACAAAACCTTTTAAGAGTCGGAAAAAAAGGAAACACAATTTTAACGAAAACAAGAGCTGTTTCGGCTGAAATGCCCAAACAGCTAAAAAAAAAAGTCAGACCACATTCGTGTTAACACTGCGGTCAAATTCCACAAACCGACCAAAAAATGTGGTAAATTGTAGATACAGATGGCATATCAATCACATCCGGTCAAAGCATGGCCATATCAAATTCACCAGCAAATTTGTAGCTGTTAAAAGCAGTCATTAATCGAGTTTGACTGTTGTGATGGCGTAGATAAACTTGTCAGCCAGAGAGGAACGTTCATCAGTTTGTCGATGTTTATTCTTCAGACAGTAACACTCTGCAGTGTCCAGAAGTTGACAACCGCTGTATTTCTGACAGACTGTCGTCCGTAGAGATTAGTTGGACGCTTGGCCCCCCGGGTTCTAGCTCCGACGTAACTTGCACAGATTCCTTTGATGGAGCCACTGTGGAGACTACTGGGGGTGTGTTTGGTGTTGGCATGCACCACGTAGTCTGCTCCTCGGCAACTAATGCCTTCCCACACTGCCTAATTTCTTTCAGTGTTTCATGTAAGTATTATGTTTTGTTTTTAAATAGAGCTCATCTGCAAACAATACTGGAGATACCATGTGATGTATGTTTCACCATCATTAATAAGGAGAGGGTAGTTCTCCTTTTTTAACCCAAATACAGCGGTACTACGATAAGGATGTAAAAGCCATCTCAAATTTCTTGTGGAAAGTGTGCATCATATTATTCTTCATCAACTTGTAATCATCAGTATTTTTTGTTAACATCATCAAATCACCGACATGATGCATTATCTTTTCAATCAGCGTGCACACCTTTGTCATTATGATCATCATCATTGCCATCATCATTGTGGTCGGAGGTAGGATGGAATACAGTCTACTAACATTTCTATGCTTTATATTGTCCAAGCCACGTGGTAGCCATGCCCGACTTCATCTTTGCTTAGATCCTAGTATGTACCAAGGTACATCCACCAGAGGGGGTTTCACTTGGGTGACCCTAGTCAATGCGTTAAAATTGGCGGGGAAGACGTAATGTACTGGTGCACATTAACATAGGTTTGTATACAATTGCGCTGTTTGCATAGGAATTGCCTGGATAACCCCTGAGACAAAAATGGAACAGTGGAATGAAATTACCAGGCAAGTCGGTGGTTGTAATGGTTGTTTTGAGGTCGTAAGGATACCAGAGGTGCATGGTGTGGGTTTGAGGGCCAGGTGGCTCAAATTACATAGTGGATACAAAGATGAGTTGCTCCGGTATGTTTCAAACATCATTTTGTGATGGTTTACATTCCAAACGTTGAAACAAATGCACAAGTCTGAAAAAGGGTAAAAGGAAGGTTTGGAGATGTTTATTAGAAGAGCGGTGTTATTGTTGTGCAGCTAAGTTAAATTGTTCTTGCCTTACAGACTTCCCCTCTCTGACAGTACCTAAAGTCGGTGGGCAGTGCACGGATCCAGGCATGAACACATCTACAGTGACATGGACCGAGGTTCATGCCACGGACGCCGGTGAAGTCACCATCGATTGCACAGATTCTGGTGATGGCGTCGGTGTCGGTGTTGCCGGGGGTGTATTTGGAGTCGGGCCGCATATCATCACATGCCGTGCTGTCAATGATGTTGGGTGTTCAAGGTCAAAGCTCTTCACGTTCAACGTCGTTGGTAAGACAGTGTTCTCCCCGAGGTTTTTTGGGATGGCCAGGCAGCCTGCTAAATGTCTATACCACCATGCTAAAGGTCTGCTTCCCGGCTGATATTTTCAATATGTTTTTTTTAAACATACTCTACATTACGTTTTCACAATTGAACAACAAAGACTAATGACTCTTTGGATTCTTAATTGTTAACTAAGGACAAACTATACGATTTTAAATACATCAAATACCAACAGTGTATGTATAGGCAAGTGATGTCTTGAGAGAATACCCTCTAGCCCTCTTTACAGTTAATCAGGACATTTATCTGCTATGCTGCTCTGCTAAAGTTTCACTTCCTAGCAAACACTGAGAATAAATACACTTAATGAAAAGGCAAGTTTTACTCACACTCAAATAAAAGTAGATATAGAATGTGTGAGCGTGTGCGTGTACAAACACTGCCTAGTGGGGGTACCGGAACAATGGGAGGTACCCCACAAGGAATACCCACCGACTTGCGGGGTACCGTTTTGGTACCCCACAAGTTTTTCACGAAATCTCAAAATCTAGGAATTTCCAAGGTGGGTTGATAAGTCGCAAATGGAAGAGTTTTAGAAAAGGGATATTAAGTCCGAATTTCAGCCCAGGAAATTAACTATGGTTAAAATAAGAGCATTTTTACGTGAGTGTCCGACGTTGCAAAGTTTTAGTACACGAGAACAAAGGAAGTACCCCACTTCTATGCCTATGTAAGCGTGTGTGTGGTTGTGGGGGGGGGGGGACGTCTTTATGGTCCGACGTCATTGGTCGACTTCCCATTGGTCCGACGTTCCAGTGGTTCGACGTCCCATTGGTCTGACGTCCCATTGGTCTGACGTCCCATTGGTCAGACGTCTCATTGGTCAGACTTCCCATAATCCTATGGGGCGTCGGACCAATGTGACTTCGGACCAATGGGACGTCGGACCAATGGGACGTCGGTCCAATGTGACTTCGGACCAATGGGACGTCGGACCAATGGGACGTCGGCCCAATGTGACTTCGGACCAATAGTACTTCGGACTATCGAGACGTAGCCGTGTATGTGCCGCAGCTTCAAGTTTAATGCAAGCAATTTTACCGGAATACCAAAACAGCAGGGCAAGCCGGAAGCATAAGACGGTACTCATGACTACCGTGAATCGTTAAAGAGTAGGCCTACAACAGGTATTCAGAAGCTTAGCGGAATACCAAAAAAGTAGGGCAAACCGGAACCAAAAGGCGGTACCCATGACCAACATTATAACTCAACTGATTGTTACCAATGACTTCTTTTCACAAAAAAACATCAACGAAGAACATATCTATACGCAAATAAAACAATTCAGTAAAACCATAGACCGTAATGGTGAACAAATTCCTGAATATTAAAATACAATCAATTGGTAGTTTATTATTTGCAAGTTTTCGGGTTTTTTTTATAGAGGGCAATCTCGTCCCATTTGGAGAAGAAATCGGAGACTCCCTGTTGTTAAAGGAACCACAGAGGGTAAGTTTTTGCGACGCATGTTTAAAAAAGCCTACGCAAAATTATCCTGCCATTAACCTGGAAAAATAAAAACACGAAAGTAAAAGAAGATAAAATGCTGTCAGTTTTTCACGTTTAAATGTGTTAGATTTGTTTTAAAAGTATTATTTTGGCTGAGTATTATGCGATTCATGCAGAAAATAACATGCAATGGCACATGTCAGTTCATAAGAATGTTATCCAACCATCTCAGATGAGATCAAGTCAATCACTGGTCAACAGAAAGTCAGTCAGGTCACAGCTAGATAATAAGCAGAGGAATTTCTTTATCACATTTCACAAACTCGATGACAGCTCAACCATACATATTAATTATTTTTTGTACATATTGGGGCCTAACCACCTGCGTGCACATCAACGTGGCTTAATTGTGATTTGGCACCTGTTATTTGTGTATTACGCTTGCAGCCACACTTAGCAAAGGATCTGATATCACCTACCATCTATCCACCAAACTTCTTTCCCTTCGGCAGCAAGCTTTATGAAAAGATATACGTAAGTATTGGCAGCCCCTTGGCAATCGTGTTTTGCTCGCTAACTGTTTACCTAAATATTTGATGTAATATCTAATGTAATCTCATTTAAACCTTAATTGCGGGTTTCCAAGCTTTGTCGTCTTGCGAACTCTTTCAGTTTCAGTGTAGAAATTTCAAGAAAATGTTCTTTTAAGATTTCATACGAGTCAAAATTCCATGTGACACAAGAAAAGTGTTCAAGACCACCCAGCAGGTCTTTATTATCCGTTTAGGACCGGCCACGTGATGGGCTCTCGACCAATAGGAATGGGTAAACTGTATAAGGTATTTGTGAATAACTCTTTAATCTTTTAAGAAAGACTTTCTACTTGGTGGGCCCTTGAAAGTCATTTGTTTTAATGCTGACCATGAACAAGGACCTTTTTGTCCCCTTAAACCTTATTTTCAATTTTTTGGTCTATTTATAGGGGCATTTTGTTGCCTTTTGGGTTTTTGTGCTAATGATATTTGAATATTCATGAGTGAAAGTGTGATGTCATTTCAAGCAGAAACCTCAATGTAACATCTATTTTAGCACAAACATATACTAGAATTTTGAATATTTTGCAGTCGTAAATGTTCTTCTCTTTGACGTTTAGTTGTTGTTTCAGTGCATAACCGTGGACCAGAGACAAAATGTTTCTAATGACTAAATGTGGATTCACAATTTGAACAGAAAATCCCTAAACTGATCTATGTCTTCCTGAATTGCCATCTCAGCAACGAAATCTCATGACATTAGCCCTTTAACACTTCTTCTCATTTTTGTGCATCAATGTGATTCAATTCATCCTCTCTTTTTGTAGTTTACCGACAATGGTGTGATTGTCCTGTCCAACGACCAAAGCCTTGATAAACGAGCGTTCCCCAGTCCGCGGGGTAAAACTTTCCTCGGTGACAGGACGATGATAGCGCCGTTTTGGGCGGATGTCAAAGCTAACGCCTTCACTGCCACAGATAATGTGTTTTGGCAGGTACGTCTCCCACTATCGATGGGAATATTAGCTAAAGTGGTTTGTTAAATGGTTTAGTAAATAACGGAAGTTTTTAAGGGAGCTGTATTTAAAAATCACCGCACTCTTAAATTGGGAGATTGCCTGAAAGTCATGCTTAATAAATTGCGTACTGTTTGAGTTTCAAAACTCTGGGTAAAAAGAAATCCACGTGATATTTGACATTAGCAAAGACAAAATTGAAAAGCCAGTTTGAACTCATCTGATCTTGGAGACATTTTGTTTGCCTCGCCTAGATGCAAATAACCCCTTAAACTATTCATCAGGTACCAATGTCTATTTTTGCTTGTTGTTGGTCAGGTGCACGATCAGTATGATCCAAATGTCAACCAGAACATGCTGGATGTTGCTAGTCTCATAGTTTCAGCCTACTACAGTGGTTTTTCAGCAAACTGGGCTCTGTCTATTACCTGGAGAAATGTAAAGGCCATATCACCCTTAGAAGTAAGTCTTCCAACATATAAGACGTTTTATTTTGGGATAGTGTTTTAAAGGCAAAGACGTCATCGCCGTCAGGATCATCAGCATCCAGTTGCAGGATGAAGTTCTTGACCACAATAACTTCGATGGAATCCACAAGGGTTATGTTCGATGGGAAATTCTGTTTTGGTTATAATAAGACTAACATTTAATGAGTGCGATGTATGTTTTTTGTTCGATAGGACACAAATACCTTCCAAGCTTTGCTTGTGACTGACGGGGTCCGCGCTTTCGTCGTTTTCAATTACGATCCCTGCGGCATGAACTGGGATACCAGTTTTTTGCCCAACAAAAACGTCATCCAGGGCTACACCTCCGGAGTCTTTGGCGAAACTGTGTATGTAGACATACCCGAAGAATCACAGTTTCGTCCCGGTGGCATAGTGGGCAACACAGGGAAGGCAGGACGCTGGGTCTACCAACTCGACAGCCTCCCAGACGGTTTTGTCAATCCACGTTTGTCCTGCCACAATTGGTACCACCGCCAGGAACCGTACCCACTGTTTGCCATCCACTATCCTCCGCTCGCAGACACGTGCCCATGCAGTCTGTGGAACGCCAGATTTGATTGGAGATACACCGAGGCCTCGCAATCAGTTGTCTTGCCAGATGATGGAAATTCATATCGTAAGTTGCCATTCTTTTATTTCATCTTATTTGTGAAGTCATGTTGGAAGAAAGCGAGAATTGTGTTGCTCAAATGGAAGAAACAACTGTAGAGAAGAAACATCTGAAGAGTTTGTACTGCTCTTAGCCATAGTGTGAACCTAAGACAGGCGCCACATAAAAAAAATCTCATCTGAGTGACATTTCACTGTGCATTCATCAAGTGGCGTTTGCATTTGAATGACAAGTGCTAAAACATTTTGATTTTGAGGACTAATCATTTGTACCCAGACATGCATTTGCCCAATAATTATACAGAAACCGTACGTTTTTACGGGTAAATTTGTGTGAAGATAAAAACGGTCCTTCAGTGCCGCTTCCTGGCTTGTTCTGCTTCCATATCTTTATTGGATGTGCACAGGAGAAAAGGACGTTATTTAAAATCCAGGTTCTTGAATCCTACATGTATATTTACTCTACCAGTCTATGCAGCTACTTTCGACTTGGGACGGGCTACAGTCGGTTAGGCGATTTGACCTGGGGACTCTCTCCCTCCCGCTGCCGTCAAGTTGCTGTCGGTACTTCATTTCTTTCCACTGACTCCAAACGTTTGACAGCAAGATTGAATACGTGGATCATTTTTGAGATATCACCTGTTGCGGTCCTCATTTCGTGTTAAATGCGTACATTAATATTTAAAGTCGCAGAAGTTTAATCTTTTAAAAGTGCTGAATTAATGAAATTTTTCTTTTGTAAAACCACACTTGTTCTACAGCCGCTGTTTGCTACGTCAGGCTTTTCCAGGTTTCTTGGATTCCTGGTCCACTGTGCTGCTATAATCTTGTCGGTCGAGATCTTGTGTACGACGTCCGAAGTGCAAGGGTCGCGTCTGTCTTTGAGAGGTATCCGCTTGGGCCTATATTCTACACGGCCGACTCTTTCGACTTATGGAAAAGTAAGTGCTTGAAAAGATTTGTAGTTCCCAGAGATTTTAACGGTACATTTTACATGATTTTGTACATTCAATGAGTGATCATCAATGCTACACTAAAAGTCTGGGTTAAATTTAATATAGGCCTATATGTAATTACTCCGTCATTTTCTTTCATAAAAAAATATATCATACTCCACGAGTTCCCAAGTGAGACATTGCAAAAAGACCCTTTAACCCTGGTTGAACTTTTGACCCAAAATTTCTGAGTCAAAGATCAGACCCAGGACAATTCCTGAGGGATTTTTTGTCACGTTGCATCTCACCGCATTGCATCGCATCGCATCGCATCGCATCGCATTCCATCGCATCGCATTGCATCGCATTGCATCGCATTGTCTTGCATTGAATTGCATCGCATTGCATTGCATTGCCTTGCATTGCCTTGCATTGCATTGCATTGCATAGCATTGCATTGCATTGCATTGCATTGCATTCCATTGCATTCCATCGCATTGCATTGCATTGCATTGCATCGCATTGCATCGCATTGCATCGCATTGCATCGCATTGCATCGCAATGCATCGCATTGCATCGCATCGCATCGCATTGCATTGCATTGCATTCCATTGCATTGCATTCCATTGCATTGCATTGCATTGCATTCCATTGCATTCCATTGCATTCCATTGCATTCCATTGCATTCCATTGCATTGCATTGCATTGCATTGCATTTCTTTCCATTGCATTCCATTCCATTCCTTTGCAAGTGTAGCTGCCGCTATTACAAGGCCATCAATCACCCAGTCTTGAAACTGGAAAACACGTGGTCATCATCCTTTTTAGCTTTATATATATGTAGCCACAGGCTGCTGATTTGTGTGAGTTTGTTTCTGCATTCAATATGGGACGTTGAACAATAGAGTACAATCCCGAATTCCCGAGAGGTCCCCAATTTGGATTCGTGTAAAAAACATATGGGAGTACAAACAAAAGATGGACAATATGGAGTCCCCACCCCACAAACTTTTAGCCTGTATTGTTTTAATCCAACTGCTATAATAAAGGTCTTGAAAAAATAGGCGTTTTTAACCTTTTTAATTATTATTTTACAGGTGAAGAAGTTCTTCCACGTTATTATTGTTGTCAGAAGTCTACTCTTTGCCACCTGTACAGAACATGGCGACCTCTAATGACTTGCGGGTGGTACAGGCCCCCGGCTTGGAGTGAGTTATGAACTTAAAGGCTTTTTTTATGAAAGTCAAAAGCATTCGCATGGATATGATTCTTCCAAAATGCCCTTCAAACTGTTTGTTTAAATGTCACTTGTGTTCGATAAGCATGAAGGTTCAATTTCAGTGGCTTAGCCTAGTCTCTAGCTACGGCGAGATCAAGCGTATACAACATTATCCTGTTTTTTTAATAGGTTAAATAATGAAAATTTTCGATCTCAGATAGAATGGAATCTGGGGCGTAATATAAAACATATTAAAATGTAACTGGCAATAGAAAAATAGCTAGGAAGAGTCACATTCCTGCAATGAAAGCGAATTATTTCCAGAAAACTGCAAATGTTAGTTCTTTCTTTTTATAAAACATACATGTACATCAGTGACGGGCAAAACCTTCTTCTGATGCAGTTTCCTGCATAAAAGTTATTGGTTGTATAGCACTGGCTGCTGAAAGCAGATTTGAGCTGACCAGCGGACCTTGAGCGAGTAATTAAAGTTCCCATCATTAAGTTGTGAATTGCAGTGATTAGACTACTTTGGTGAAGACCAAACACAAAATTGTATTTAATTTGTGAAGTTCTCATTCTGTTTTAAATAGTGTGGGGCTGGGGAGACCCCCATGTCGTAACTCTTGATGAACTGGAGTACTCCTTCAATGGTCTGGGTGAATACACACTTTCACTCATCGAAGATGACGATGGACAACGAGTCTTTGAACTGCAAGGTCGCACACGACAGGCCGTGGATACGGAGACAGGGGAACTTAGTAAGGCCACTGTCTACTCTGGTTTCGCTGCGGTGTACACAGGAGAAGCAAAGGTCTTGTTGTAAACACAGATTAAGTATTTTAAAAAATTACCTTTTCAAAAATGCTTTGACTTGACTCCACAATTTGTTTCCATATTTTTATCAGGTGTTGGACTCTGCGTTCTCAAACAAATATTGTGTAATAAGTGACAAGCTTCTTTATATTTCCAAGTAATAGTTTCTGTCGTTTTGGTTCTAGACTCGATGTCTTATATACTAGTCTTTTTGTTTTGTCCTACCAAGTGCCCACAATGTGCATATATTTTATTAATCATTTAAACTAAAAAGTTTTATATTACATCTGTTTGTTTTCTCTCTTGAGTTTTTTTCTCTTTCTCCTTTCGTAAACACTTATCATTCCATTGTACTCTATAATTCATCATCTTACGACTACCTTTCTTTTCAGAGAATAAAGCTTTAGCTTTGGTACATTTAGTCCTTGATGAGTTTGATATTTTTATTTCATATTCTGTCAGTTTTATCCTTATATTTAAATGTGTAAACAAATCACTTGAGTGGATATTCTTAAAGGTATATGAATAGATTCCTTTCATCTTGATTTTCTTTACCTTGAATATGTGTAGTGTACTGGTGATTGTCTTTTTTTTCGATCATCTTTTTGCTTTTACTGGAAATACTGAATGGGCCATAATGAATGTGTAGGTTTGCTACTCATCATCAGGCGATAAAATGAAAGTCTTAAAAATTCCGATGATTTGCAGGACTTTCAAACCCCTCAACAGCAGTTTGCCGGTTTTGTTTGCCATTCAATACAGATTGAGATCAAGTTGAGTGAGGATGCCATTGATTTGATAACGACTGTCAATGGGACAGTTGTCACACCCACTGCTGAAGGTAAGACCCGTCGCCAATTTCACATTGCCTTAAAGGTACAGTCCATCATTTGCTGCTATCCAAAAAGTAACTGACAAAATTAGCGTTGAAAAGCATACTTGGTTTAAACGTAGTAATGGGAATAAACTCCCTTTGAAATTACTATTTCTGTCAAGCTGTCCTTTTGAAGAGAAAACAATGAAAAGGGCATATGCAACGATGCGTCTAAAAAGGCATTTTTGGACAATTCGTTATTAATTTGGCAATGCGCCTAAGCGTTGACATAACGCACACACGCGCGCGGTTGCTTTTATTCATCATAGATATCAAAATAATATATATTTGTTCTTCTAAAATTTATGTAATTCGTTGGTTCAGTTAGCGTCTTCTGAATCAGATTGGCTGAATGAGAACGTGTCCCGGACGCTGAATTCGGGCGCAATTCAAAACATGACTTTCAAATTGAAATCGAGATCCTAAAATATTTTTTTTTTTTCGGAATATACAACATTTTCTGAGCTGAAACTTCATCCAGTCAGTTTTTCAGCACCCTTGTAAAGATTTTGAGCACTTGTTGTTTCAAACGAACATATTGCATGAAACAAACACGATGTCCTTTACCTAAAACGGCGATTTCAGATTATGAGTGGTTTATCTGATGGTCTATTTTGTAACCTTTTCCATCTGTTATACATACATTTGAACTCAGCTGAGGGCTATGACTTTGTGACGGTGCTGTTTTCATCAACATCTTTCTCAAAATGGATGCGAAATGTATGTCCATTGTATTTTTTTCTCGTAGGATTGCAGTTTGATAATCTTCAGGTAACGAGGGCGGAGAACCCAATCAAAGTGAGCGTCATGTATTCTGAGTACGTCTCCTTTACTGTCGGGGTGAATAACAGCATGGCCGATATCACAGTCCTTTTCAACGAGGACTTCAAAGGCAAAACGAAGGGAATTCTAGGTATGGTTCTGTATACTACCACGACAATTTTTTTTTCATCCTATTTTTGTTACAATGCCACTTGGTTTGGCAAATCTGATGAAGAAAAATAAAGTTAGTAAATTGTAGGTTAAATCAATTCGGGCGATTCACACTGCATTGGCCACCAATAATTTGCCATGGAGAGTCCATTTTTTTTAGTTTACGGTCGACAAAACATGCTCCATTTGAATGAGTGTCAGTAGCCAACTTGAGCTAATTTGTTTTAGATAGGGGCATATAGCGTTCTGCCGCCTCACTAAATACACCATATACACCATGACAGACAGAAAAGAAAAGTGCAAACAGATACTCCAATCATGCGCTTACGAAAATACTGACCGGAAAAAACAATTTGTCGACCTCTCTTAGTCTCCCACAATGCACTGGGAAAAATGAACTCTCTGTGGCAAACTCTTGGTGGCGCACTGTATTGTGAAACGCCCGAATTTAGATGACAATATTTGTACTGTATAAAGTGACAGTCCCAAATTCTTTTAATTTGAATTTTAAACGCATCCCAGGGAGTTGGGTTTCAGGTGTAAACCCATTACTTGATTTCATCGATTTGTTAAATTTGCTCAGGTGTCTGGGATGACGACCCAAGCAATGATGTGTTGACGCGTAATGGCACTCTGCAAACGGGCTCTGGAGACAATGGAGAGCTGGTGGAGAGGGACTACTTCGAATTTGGCGAAACATGTAAAAAAAACATCCAAACCTCTCATAAATAATGTGATTTTAATGTGGACGGCTTGTCATTGTATGATTGGTTTGGAATTGGATTGTTTTGCAGAGAAATGAGTATAATTATTTTGGCTCGATAAATTTCAGGGCGAGTTGTGGAGGAAGACTCTCTGTTCTTCTATCAGTCTCCTGATGAAAGCTACGACTCCTTGAACGACCCCAACTTCACTCCAGACTTCCTGCAAGATTTGATCGACAAGGCACCGCCGGGAAAATACGACGAGGCCAAAGCGGTCTGCGGATCTAGCAACGAGTGTCTGTACGACTCCTTGGCTCTGAATGATACCAGCATCGGTATGGCTACATCAACACTCAATGAGATGAACATGGAAAACATGGCAATCGCAAGTAAGTGGATACACAACGTTTGATTGAAGGAGAAGCCAGTTTAGTTTGTGTTGCACCTGTTGGCAGGTGCCAGAGGGCCAGCCCAGAGCCCTCGTCGCACCTGTTTCACTGACGCACTGACTGACTCGTGACACTTGTGAATCAGATCTGCTTGAGTCTTCACTTACTAGGCCCAAACATTTAACTCGGGTGGCAACGAATACCCTCAGACAAAATTGGTCTAGTACAAGGTTTATCAGGGCGTGCTTAGTGCTGTTTTTTTTCTGACATAGTCCTGGGCATGATTACGTCATATATTGGTTGCTACGAGTGTGGTACAATTTTGCCTTCCAGACGCAAGAACCATTGAGTTTCTGGAATATGGGTCTGGGAGCTAGATAAGCCAATATAAAACATCCCGGATGTCGGCGCCCGCATATTTGGTGTAACGTAAACGTTTTCTGTATTAAAGGAAAGAGCTGGGAGAGCCGCTGTAGCATTTTTAGGAAATCAATTTTCTGCAAATCCCCTTTACGTTCCAGCCAATTTCCCACCAAACATAACACTTGTGGACACCATTGAAGTTATTGTGGGCAAGAACTTCATCCTACAACTAGAAGCAGTTGATCCTGACGGGGATGACGTCACTTTTGACTTACTTGAGATGGTAGCAGAGGCAGCCATTTCAGCCTCAGGTTTGTTAAAAAGCAACGTAGTTTAAAGTCTGTATGTAGCTGTAAACATTCTGTATTAATGTCATAAATTCCCAGTGTTGTAGTACTTGTACTCGGTACTCGTACTCGAGTACTTTTTTTTTGAATTACTCGTACTCGTACTCGTACTCGTACTCGAATGTCAAAGTACTTGTACTCAAAATGACGGTACTCGTACTCGGGCAGCAAAGTACTCGTACTCGACATGTCGAAATAGTACTCGATCATTTATAAAGTACTCGTACTCGAATAGCAGTACTCGGCCGGGGAAAATGTTGTAGCTTCACTTACCTTGGCCTTATTGTATCAATACTCTCAGTTTGTAATGGTTGATTGGCTTGTGGAGAAGTCGAGATTTCCTGATTTTCCTCTGTGCAAGTCCGTACAAACACATTCAACAGCTAGCTGTGAGTGGGTCTGTATATCGGTCTGACTGAGCTTGGGCCAATTACGCACAATGAACCATTTGCCGTTTGGCCGTATTCGGAAGTACTCGTACTCGTACTCGTACTCGGAAGTACTCGTACTCGTACTCGGAAGTACTCGTACTCGTACTTGGAAGTACTCGTACTCGTACTCGGAAGTACAAGTACTCGTACTCGATAGTGATTGTGATTGGTTGTGCTGCCCTCCTCAATATAAGATTCCAACTTGGTAACAGACCCTAGAAAGCAAATTTACTTTTTTATTTCGGAAGGTCGATTTTCCTGGACACCACAGGACAAGAGTAAGGTGAAGATCGGTTTCTTAGCAACAGATGGAAAAGCGAATGCCACGCTGGAACCAATCGTGAAGCTCTGTGACTGTCAGAATTACGGCACCTGCCTGTTTGATCAGTACGCTAGTGGAGTGGACATAGTTAGGGACCGATTCGGGGTAGGTTTCTATTAAAGGTACATCCTGGATATTTTGCAAAGTGCACCACTGTCCAAAACAGAATGACTCATTAAGACCCGCTCACTTCCGTGGGCAACAACATGTGCGCCAAACTGCATGCTCCAGCTTGCTTTACGCACACTAATAGACGCATGTCCAACATTAAACAACAAATATATGTTTAGTATAGACACGCAGTGCAATGTTTTGAAATCAACAAATACCTAGTTAATTGCAACTGTAGGTTGGTTTATGAGGTAAACGTTTTATGGGGTTTGTTTCATTGCTTGTAGGTGGTGTTATGCCAATGTGAGCCCGGCTGGTCGGGAGAGTTCTGTGAAGAGAACTACGACGCATGCGCAGACAACCCGTGTTTCCTGAATGTTGATTGCGTGGATGAGGATCCACCCTCGTTGAACAGCACCTGCGGACCTTGTCAAGCGGGACTTGAGGGGGACGGGAAATCGTGTCAAGGTCAGTCAGGAATGCCTACAGTTGTCCAGAGTCACGGACATTGCTCGGCGGGGTGGGGTTGGGGAGTCACACCATTGGTCGCTGTCTCGCCCAAATCATTGTCTGATCAGCAAAATCTTGAGCAATGTGCCGCGATGAAGAGCACCTTCTATTTCCAGATTGTGGTTACAATTGTCTGTTCTGAAAAACCTCCAATTTGTCATATGGTGTGCATCACCCCCCCTTTCCCATTTGTTTTAAATTTGACTTGCAGCATAACCTAAAAAAAATGCGAGAATCGCAAGCATATGCACAGAAAATAAGTCCAGGTTGCAGTAGGCCCTTGGTCCGCCATCTTTGTTTTTGAGGTTCTATTCCACTCCCCACTAAAAAGTGTCTGGTCATCAGTAACCCCGTTCTCTTGATAATTCAACACGAGAACGGGGTTGCTTGCCTGCGTGTCAGGCTCTGTCAGCAGTGCGTTCGAATGTCCCATTAAGTTGTTTTTCCCCTTTACTCAACACATTTTTTTTCTGCATCTGTCTGCAGATATAGATGAGTGTGAGCTGTACAAAGACCAGCCAGCAAGCGGTGGTGGACTGGGCTGCGACCAGAACTGTCACAACATCCTCATGAACTTCACGTGTAGCTGCAATGCTGGATACTTACTGCATGAAGATGGGAAGCGATGCATTTGTAAGATTAATTCAGAAAACAAAATCAACGTCGTTGTAAATCTGCGTGGTGATTTGTTTGTGTTATTAAAGATGGCACTAATTGTAGGGTTCTCTTACAGAATGGAAGCCAAGTAATCCAAGACGTCAGATTTTGATTGGGTTTTGACATGGTACATTCCAAATAAGAGGGTTTTAGAGGGATCCTTTCATTCCCCTTAATACCCAAATAAAACGTGTTATGTAATTCCAATTGTAACGGTACGCCCTTAAGGAGGTCTGCGTTCAAATAATTTTATTGAAGGGCGCCAAGGCAGCGAAGACAAACCGAATGAAACCAAAAGTGAACAGGTACTTTACAAAAAAAATGTGTGGCTTTTGACATCCATCTCAATTTAAGCTTACAAAACTGATTTCAAATCAATTTATACTTAAAGTTACTTGTAATTCTTAATTCGAATTGCAATTACCAAATTCTTAGTTGTCTAATAGTTAAAGTTCCTTGAACATTTTTAAATACTCAAAGTTCAAGGTTTATAAGGTCCAAGTGGTCCAAGAGTTGCAATCGCTATAATAAAGTTCTAAGTGTTAAGTTCCAATAAATGTTCAAATGTTATGCAGTAAAGATGTTATAAAGTTAAAGTTCCCCGAACATGGACGGCTTTTTTTCAGACGTTACAGACGAATGTCACTTGTCTGCGTTGAGCTGTTTGAATGGAGGGACCTTTGATGCGGAGTTTTGCGAGTGCGTCTGTCCACTTACGCACTCGGGAATGACGTGTGCCGGTAAAACATATCTGTGTTTTTTTTTTCCTAGTTCGTTTTCCTAGTGTAGTTTGAAAAAAAAACAGCTGTATTCCCTCGGATTGGTCAGGAACTTCATTTTGGAATAATCAGAGACCGGGAGATTTGTGGACAAAGTTGATTGTATGTGCCATTGAACATTAAACAATTCACAGAATGCTTTCCTTGTGGATGTTTTTTTTAAACCTGTGTTATTTGCCATCTTAGTAAGAGCATAATAGAGTTATGTGTGCAGACTCCTTGACCACCTAAAGCGTATTATTGTTGAGTGTAAACAAACGAAATGCTCTGGTAATGTTCCAATGCAAAACGTCTTTCACAGTGGTTTTCTGAAACATTCGTGCACTAAATACCAGTATGCTTATTATGCCTCTGTATTGCAGTTCCCGAGGCCAAATACTACCTACATTTTAGGGGAATAATATAAGTTATAAGCTAATGTAATAACTACACTGATATTTCTTTTCTTGGCAGATGAGAATCGCTGTCTTTCCAGCAACAGATGTGGAAATGACCAATACTGTTTACCAAGCAATGATCCGTCGGGATTCACTTGCCACTGCAATATCATCCAAGGGTTTGTCGAGGGTGATTCTGGTCAGTGCCAACGTAAGTAATTCACTCGTAATTTGTGTTGCCCTGTATATTGATATTGTAATATATTGTACCGTAATATCAATGTAATGTTACTAGAAATGTAACTTTTCTTATGGTATGTGTTATAGCTATGCCAGTTATTGTAATTTTGCATTATCATATAAATAACAGGGAATGGGTCATTAGGGAATTAGTCATTAGGGAGACTTTCCCATAGACTTGTGCACAACATTTCAAACGTAAAATTGCACCCATTGGCACTCATCAACGTTGGATTTTCATGTTTCCCAGATTACCCATCCAAGAATGCTGTGATCACTGCCCTTATGGACTTCAACGATGCCTTCAAAAACCCAACGTCGAAAGCATTCAATAAAACTGCAACTGTGTTTGAGAATGCAGTAAGTAAATTTTTTCTTTCTTGTTTCCTCAGCCAAAAAACCTTACTCTCAAAGGTCCTACCAGAGAGGTGCTGCCAGGATCCAAAACATTAAGCCCTCACTTTTTTATCGTATATTGAAGGTCAAGTGTTCAGGAAGCAGCAGTTGTATTCATTTAAAATAAATACTTTAAACGTTTATCACACTTACAGCAACGTAAGTCATGAACCAGCTGAATATTTAGACATTACACAAAATTCAAAGCGATCATTTTGTTTTTGATTTTCACAAGATTTAGATACAGAATAGGTTTCTCATGAACAGTTTTTGGTAGAATTTTACAGGACAGATTTTGTTCAATCCGACGTTAAATTGTTGTGGTTAAGATTGACTGTTTTTGGATTCTCATCTGACTGTCGTTTCAAGATGAAACAGGCACTGGTCTCGGTATTGCGATCTCAATGTAAAATTAGCGATAAGTAATACCATCAATGTTTAAAGTATATAACAAGGGCATTATTTTCCAGGTTGTCCTAAGTTCTTGTCTCACTGATTATAATGAAAGTAATAACTCATTAGCACCTGTACTAATTGTACTCTAACGTATTAAATAACTGAAGAGCGCTTGGGCAGTTATGAGCAGTATAGGGAGTAATGGTTAAAAAGTTAAACCTCCTTTCACAGCTCATGTTTGATATTTTTAATCCTAGATTTTGAAGACCCTTAAAGATCACCCATCAACCAATGACGTTTTGTCGGTGGTAGTTCCTTTACTGGAGGAGGGCAGCGTTGTCATCAGATCTGTAGCACTGTTTGGAACTGCTGCACCGTCCAACGCCATTCTACGTGAAGTGCTGTCAAGCAGTGATACACTGACTGATGGCAGTACAGTCATTAACATCGATCAAAACTCGATCCTTGTGGATGGTGAGTTGATGGTAAAACTACTGTCGTATAAAACGATGACTTTAGAATCGTTTAAGCAAATTGAGCAGCATGAAAACCGACACACATTATATTAGATTACAAACAATTAAATACAGTTTATGGTATTATATGTAGTTTATGTAGTTTATTAACGTTTTGTGGCAATTATGGGGCGATTAATATTAATAAATGCAGCAGTTTTTGCGCAGAAGTAATCGCATTATATTTTCAAGGTTGCCCCTACCCGGCCTTGAAAAATGACCAGTAAATGCTTGAAATCTGAAGCATTTACTCCTTTTTATTCATACGAAATGAAGTAACACTTCTAGTCTAGCGAAAGATAGCAGGTAAAAAGTAAATACTTTTAGCTTTCAGCGAATGCTTTCCAGTAAAAACATCTGCTTCATTTTTATACATACACATTGACATTGTACTTTCGTTCATTTGTTGGCCGAATAAATAATAACAATAATAATAATACATGCAAGTAAATGCTTAAAAATTTGTAGTAAAAGCAAATGCTAGTTTTTATACATACGACCCAATGACCTGTTGCTTGAGGATTTGTTACACACGTTACCCTGGATAGTCAATGATGCGACGCATCAGTGAGACCAGCTTTGCTAGGCTTGACTTGACTTGTGATTGTTTATATGATAGATGAGGCAATAGACTGTGTACCGACTTACTGCATGAACGGTGGGACGTGTGAGACATCGGGCATCTTTCCTTATAAGAACTACGCATGCAGGTAAAAAATGCACGACTTAAGGTCCTCCAATTAAACTTGGTTCCCTCTTGCCTTACTATTAGGACAAAACAATCGAGCTCTTTATGCAAAAGCATCTCTTAAAATATCGGATGCTTCAAACAGAATCACACACATTTGAAAAGCCTCTTCATGTTACCTTGCGATACTACGTACATTTATTTTAAACCCTTTTTAGAAGACACAAACTTGCTCAATTCAATGAATAGGTAATTGTGTGAGCAAAATACATTTCACAATTAAGGCCTTCAAGTACAAGTGCCGTTTAGTTCTGGCATTCGCTGTTATCTGAACAAACTGCAATCAGGTGACGATGAGCTTGGCTTACTAACTTCAAATGATGTCTCGCATTGAGTGTTCTATCTGTAGATTCCAACCAGTTTCCATTTTCTAAAGATATGCCTCTAGTTTTGAGCATGAAGACAATATTAATCAGACTCGAGTAGACAATCTTCAATCAGTTTATTGGAACTGACTTATTTTCAGGTGCCCTGAGGCCTTTAGCGGTAAGCGATGTGAGTCCGAAGTGTTGCCACATCCAGAAGGTAAATGTGTGTTGTATTCCTATCACGTCATACAAGTTGGCCTACTAACAGATAAAGACACGTTTGACGAGAAAGAGACAACACAGTTGCATGTGTCAATTTGGACCATGTGTTGACGAATGAAAGCTTCTTTATACCGTAGGATCACATTATACATGTATTACTAACCTACTCATAGTTTGATAATCCCCTTTATTAATTTCCAGATGGACTATCAACATTGGCCCTAGCTTTCATCATCAGTGGGTCTATCGCTTTGGCTGTCGTGGTGGTAGTCGTGCTAGTCTGCATTGTTCTTCACAAACAAAGCCTGCAGGCAAAGGTTTCTGCCAACCACCGGAATAAGGTTGCCCCGATTATAGTTGAGGAAGCGGTGGTGGACAACATCAGTGACCCGACTGACCTCAAGGAGGTAACTGATAACATTCTTTAACGTCCCTTGGGTCTTTTTACCTTACGCACAGTGTTCAGTTCTGATCAATTACTTCAATTAAGGATTTGTTTTAAAAAAAATGGTTGCCCTGAAATGAACTACAGGCGAGGGACGGAAATCTTCTCAACATTTTCGGATAGTGTATTTGTCCATCCTTTGAGAATGTTGTTTCATAGAATCATGACATGGTGAACCTCAGACCCATTCCTTATTATGCATTTCCACCATGCAAATCATATTTATTTATTTTTTGACCTGGTTCAAGATTTTTGACAACATTGACAAGTGGTGCTGGTTGCTGGAAGCAAGGAGCCCCAATGTTATTCACAATTCCTTGAACTTATGGAACGAAAGGTCCATCGTTTGAAGAATTCATTGATAATTAAGTGTTGCACAAGAAGAGATACATATCAAAGATATTTCAAGGAGAAAACATAATTTTGTCAATGAATCTCAAAAATCAACGTTTTCTTAAAAGTCAATGTTTAAATTTTCGGGTTTTTTTGAAAACGTGAAGGCTTTTAAGTTTTAAAAATTGCATTTTAAGGAGTTTCATCACTTGAGATATTGTTGCAGCATTGGGAAAAAACCATGTATTGAAGAGATGTGACAAATATAAAAACAAACCTAGCTAGCAAGATAGTAATGATCAAATCCGATCATTTAGAAAAAAACCCCAATGAATTAGTTATTTTTCTGGTGAGACTTGGTAAATTGTATTGGTTTAACCCATGGAAATAATAATACATTTATTCTGCATTTCACAGGGTTTGGAAGGCCATGAAGCGTTTGCTATGTCATATATGGCTTCAGGTATGGAGAATCGCAGTGACGATACAGCAGTAAGTAAAGTACATGTACATAACTTTCTATTATACAGGGTGTCCCCCCAAAAAATATTCCACTCTCCTTTTTTTTTTTACAAATTCAAGCAAACCTGAATGCATACATTTTCTTATTATGGATGGTAAGAATGCTTTGTGTCTTGGTTGTGAATCACCAAAAAAAATGGATCATACTATCAATCCACTAGGGACAGAAATGCTTAAATATGAACTCGCCTCCATTTGCCACCACAGGTAACAATTGTGAACAATCAGCCATAGGTGAACAATTGTTACTTGTGGTTGATTGACAAATAGGTATTTTTAGTCAAAGTCCAATAAATAGACAATGCCATGGTTGGTTGGTTTTCTCTAGTACGCTTGATAACGACTGATGACTGGTCTTTCATAATAGATACCAAGTAGAATTGTTGAAAAGCACACTTGACAAAAATCGACATTTTAAAATTGGTGATTTGAGTCCCCAGCGTAGATGGCAAATGGAGGCGAGTTCATATTTAAGCATTTCTGACCCTAGTGGATTGATAGTATGATCAAATGTTTTTGGTAGATAGCAACCAAGACACATAGCATTCTTACCATGCATAATAAGAAAATTTATGCATTCAGGTTTGCTTGAATTTGTAAAAAAGAAGAGTGGACCATTTTTTTGGGACACCCTGTCGTAAACCGATCCATTGGGCCGGGCCCACTTCGCACGTCGGCAACAACACAATTTGGCCTGAGTGGCGCAGTGCGTACAGCGCTCGCCTCTACAGGGTGAGTCAGAATGATCTGGACCGAAATTAAAGAAAATATTAAAACTATGTAGCAATGATCAAAACTAGTGCTTAAAGAGATACAGGTTAGTATTTTGGACATAATTTGGTGAATGTTTCATGCGTATCAGTTTGAAGGAAAGCGCTAGCGAAGAACAAACGCTACAGACACTCTGACCACGGTTTTACGGTTCAACAAATTTAGTGAATCTGCGTAGGCTGATGAGAAGCAGTGTTATAACAAATAAAAAACTAGACATGGTGACTTACTCACCTGAAGATTTTGACGCATGTAGAAAAAAATTCAAAGGCCAATCCCGTGTGGACTTCGGAGACCGCAAAATGAGCCACTTTAGTGAAAATGGCATAGCTCCTCACCACAGCCACCAGTATGACAAGGTAATAACCATTCCTACAAAACACTATATTCTATCTACTAAAAAAAACACCGGTTAAGTTGGGTCCACATCATTCTGATTAACCCTGTACGACTTAACACAAGATCTCACCACATATTATGGCGACGGTTCACTTCCTTCAATATTTTGTGAACAGAGTGGCTGTTCGCTGATTCTGTCCTGTGGCACAATGTTGCTGTTGTTGTTGTTGTTGTTGTTGTTGTTGTTGTTGTTGTTTGTCTGGGTTCACCGGTTTTCCTCCATGTGCCAAATTCAAGCACTTTCGATCTGACTGTGCCCCGTGATAACACATGGGTGGTATGGTGGCTGCCAAAAAGGCACCTTTACAGGCCCTCGGCTCGACCACGTTGTCGCTGCGCCATTTGCAATTCAGCTTCTGCTGCGAGTAAGGACGATTTTCGACCATGTAAACGTGTTATTATTTTATTTTGCATGTTGGATATTATTCACAGCTGTAATCACATGATGGGAAGGTGCTTAATAAATCTGTGGATGAACAGTCTGTGATTTTTTTCTGAAATTAATGGCGTAATGCATTTAAAAGAAATGATAAATGTAAAACTATTTAACCCTACGAGCAGCGAAGCGGTCATAAAATTCTCCACATTTTCCAAATACGGGCATATTTTTTTTTCAATGGGCCAATTAGGCCAAGCTTGCATGTAATCCTCACCCCTACTATACACCACAAGCCTGTGAACTCCCATTGGCCAGACCCTAGCCACTCCGAAGTAAGGAGTGTTGAAAGACAGAAGCCAAGATAGCGGCTCATGCCTTTGTGCAGTAATTGGAGAAAATGGCGGCCAAACCCTTTGTCCCACCGGTCTCTTTGTGTCAACCCCTCGTGCCGCCCAGAGCTCAGACAGGTTGTAAACAATCTCTCACGATGTGAATGACCTATATTTTGTACAGGCATGCGGGGGGGGGGGGGGTATTTCCCTAGAAAAATATCTGGTGATAAAATTTTCCACGTGGCCAGTCCGTGTGATTTTTTTTGTTAAGCTGCTCTCAGGGTTAATAAGACCCCACGAAGTGCTCCTAATGTGTCAATTGCCAACACCTGACTAATGGTGACAGATGCCTTTAAGATACCTAATTTATTGAAAGCTTTATATTGTGTGGAGTAAAATCATTGTCTCCCTCGGTGGTCCATGAAGCATATCAAGTCTATTTTAAAAGGCAGATTTGGAGCTGAGCTTTTTTTGGTTTATCACTCATATACAACAATGTCTTTAAAGGTCCAAATTTGCTTGCTCGAAAACTGCGAACTGATGCATCATTAGAAATATTGAAAGGTATGACTTCTTATATTTTCAGTAGCTTGATCTGGGTTAGTTCAGCCAGAATCTTTGGTTATTTTTACACCACAGTTTAACCGTTTTATTATATCGGGCAAAAACAAAACCTAGTTGAAAGTCGTCATAACCATTTCCATTTGCTTGTCTTACAGGATGACGTCGATGGCTATGTGGATCGCAATCCTCATGTCTGCTAGATTGACATGTACCGTACACTGTTCTGAGAGAAGGATAGTACATTACAATCTATCGGAGTCTTTGTAATCTATCGGTAGAAAAAAAAGCTTTCAGTAGTCTAGTTTCATGCTTTTTTAATTGTTAGTTTTGCTAGTTCCACAGAGTTTCAGCTTACAGTCCGCTTTGTACTTTACGGAGTCACTGACTCACCGTCACTTGTGAGTCGGGCAGTGCCATCATATAGGATTACTCCTAATGTCAATGAATCAGCCAAATCTGCCCCGTTGTGTACAAAAGATGCATAAATGGAGCCCTGATCTGAAGCAATTAAATGTAATGTTGTGGCCTCTGGGACCAGCTTTCCAAGGCTTGCCGTGTTGTGTGTATTATTATTCTAACATTTGTTCAGCCAATGCATGTTTTAGTGAACACAATATAGGAACCCAATCACTGTATCAGTAATAATCGAACATGGCAATGACAACTAACACTCCACGTATTGAATATATTAATTGTATACTCAGAAAACAAGCACATGTTGTCAGTACATTTTGTAGTAGAGTTTAAGATGTAAGTGTTATCAGTAATAATTATGACAATGGCGAGTGAAAACTTAAAGTGATCTATGGAACAGTTATACAATTTGTAAACTGTATTCTAGTCAATCAAAAAATGTACTCTCATAATTGTATTATACAGTCTTCAATATGTATACTCAGAAAATCAATTTATGTATGGCCTAATTTACCCAAAGATAGTTAATGTGCTAGATTTGTACTTCTACTATGTTTCATAAAAAAATACCATTTGTTGCTAAACTCATCTGAAAAAGATCAGCAAAAGTTTCTTTCTGTAAGCAGTGACGTTACAGCTGTAAAGGCTGGAGATATCAATTTTCAAAAATATTTACAATTACATTGATCAGCTTAAGGGTTCGAATTCATTATTACAAAATACAACTACAAACTACAGATTTGCGTTGGGTTACAAACGCAGACAACAATTGCATGAGACACTGCCCATTAAAGTTGTGAATATTTTTATGTCGGAACAGAAAAAGGATCATGAAATTTAGCCTCTACAGTAAAACTAGTTGTTTTGTTTTGAGGTATAATATGTCAGAATACATTTTATATGCACGTAAAAGTTATTTCCGGTTTGATAACGTCATCAGTCACTAAGGGGAGAGTCACTACTGATTTAGTTCAGAGAGGACACATGTTCATCGTGAAAGAACAACAAAATATAAAAATGAGGGAACTTTAAGTGTTACACATTTTTTTAAAGACCATTTCCAAATTATCCGTAAAATTTGTAGGATTTGTAGGATTTGTAGGATTACGGGATGTTCCCTCATCGCATATTCTTTCATTTGCATTTAATCCCGACAGAGTGCAGAGTGTATTAATTCGTGAAAACATAATTGCTCCAATAATCTTAGAAGTATATGATTATATATTCCTATATATCTTATTTTGAAGTAGTTACATTTCTTTATCAATGTTCAAAATGGATCATTGAGTATAATTTAATGAGATATAATGTACTTTATGTTTGTACTTTATTACCACACCATGTGGTACTAACTACTGCTTAGAAGATATTTAGTTCTGAAAAGAACTTGTCCTGCTTATTTATAACTTTCGCTAAGTAGTTTTTGTTCTGATAAGAACTTGACAAATCTGCCATTGTCAAACACTTTGCTGATTTGGATCATGTCGTTGATTGGGAACAAGCGGAAATGATAGCTCCAGAGAAACACTGATACCCCCGTCGTATCAGAGAAGATATTGAGATCCACAAACATGACACTGTACCACAAAATATCGGCTATTTCACAAGCAACATTTGGCATTCAATAATACCAGGTTGCAACTCTCATAGCTCACAGCCAACTGACTCACATGAGCGAGCAGGACACTCAGCTGGCATCCCAGTTCAACACAATGCCCAAGGCTCACAGCCAACTGACACACTCAAGCGAGCAGGGCATCCCTCTCTAACACAATGCCCAACAGACAACCAATTATAATCCACCAATACAAGCACTCCCAATCCTAACACAGCCTACTTAGGAGTAGCATCTCTCACTCTCTTAAGTCTCCTGACGATCACTAGAGAAGGCTAGTCGAAACTAGCAGGACTGTTCTTATCAGAACAAAAACTACTTAGCGAAAGTTGATAATAAGCAGGACAAGTTCTGCTTATTTTCTATTCTAAACACCACACATTTACGAGTTGAAAACCTGCTATTCGCTAAAGTGAGTAAGTTGTCATTAGAAATGTTAATTATTAGTTTGGAAATCACGTGATTAAAAAACACCAAACCTCAAATTCAATACCAATTTAAAAAAAATGCTATTTTCTGATTTTTTTGTTTACTGGGTTGAATACAAATTCTGCCCTTAAACAAGGCTTGCTCAGACTTGTTTAATGAGGAGCTGCTAATAATAAGGGAAGAGGTCCACGCAGAACCACAAACAGTAATCAGCCCTACTTTGCTTGGACACCACAGACGTGCTCTGAGTTTTCCGCGTTTTGGCGTTGGAGGTCCCATGTTGTTGCTTAGCGACCAGTTTTTTTCTCCAGAGAGCCGGGATGCGGCGGTTGCAGCCGAAGGAGAGAAATATGAGGACCCCCTGCAGAGAGCTGAGGATGACGAAAAGGTACCAGAGGACCACGTGATTGATGCGGTTGGCAAGGCAAACGAACAACCACGTGAACCCCATGACAGCAGAAATCTGAGCATAAATAGAGAAGAACAAAAAGGATGATAAATATCAGTGAGCTATGATCTTTAAAATTTGCTACTAAATAACCATTAAATGCCATGGATTCTTTTACATTTACCTCAATTGGGGCACAACGAGCTATGCCACTCTGCACACTGGTACTCTTCCATCGTTCTTTGCGTCTTTAAATACTACCAAGGTCGTCGCTAGAGGGGGTTTGAGTGGAACGTCGTCCGGCCCCACCCACTAATTGATTTTGCGACCATCGGGTGACCAGAAATAACACCTTGCATCCTTCCAGAACGCAATATCAATCGGCAATTTTATTGCCACAATTTGGCATGCCTTTGAGCTTTTCTAGAAAAAGAGTTGCGTATACTTTAGATGACTTTCTTGTAATGATTTCGAACAATGTAAGAGGCCGAGGAAGGTGCCCTCCCAACATTTCAATGGAGGGTTCGGAAACCAGTGCGTAGCTTCACTTTTTGCACAGTTCGGAATGGCCAACGAGATATCCAGATGTTTTACATGTACATCAATGGTGTATTACATTCTACGACTTTTACCTGTCGCCCCAATAAAACTGTCACGCTTGCTGAGGTTTCAGCGCGAATACTTTCTGGAAACGTTAGCAAATAACGCAATTAACATTTAGCGTCAATGCTCAGGCGAGTACAAAGCTCTCGATAACAGGGTAATAATTTGTTATAGGGACATTCACTTTAATAACACCAGGGCAGGCAAGTTGATAGAAAGCGCTCGATCACAGAGTAATAATTTTGTAAAAGGGACATTCATTTTAATAACACCAGAGTAAGATTTCCTATCAGATACCATCTTCTTTTCAAGTTTACTGCGCCCTACGCGAAACAAACTGTTGACTAGGTACTTATACGCCGATGCATCACGAAAACATCGTCTGTCCAGAGTATCTCAATTTAGCAGCTCAAATGACCATTTTATAGCATATCACTAGATGGAACAATTTAGAACCAACCAATGCACAACACAAGGGACCACGTGAAGGATAATGCTGACTTGGGGGGGGGGGGGGTTGGCAAAGAGTGGGATAAAAATGCATCCTTTTGTTAACTTCTCCTGCCAACGTTTTCCAAATTAACTGTCAAAGGGGCAAGAGGTGAGGTGTTAAGATGAATAACACGTATTGCCGTATTGTGCAACAGTGTAAATGAAACTTCGATTACTGTTACCATGGTTCCATCACTTGACAGTTAACTCCATAGCAACATTATGTATGATTCGTCACCGACACCACGAAATAACACCCAAGTCCAGGTAGTGTGTTTCGTAGGCCCTTGGCACAATGCGTTCCGTAGGCTCTAATCCACCCTGGGCACCGGCACAAAATTCGTGTTCACAAACCAGTTAACATTTATGTTCACAAAACACAATAATATTTAACTGAAAATTAACGGTAGATTTTGATTAAGTAAGAGGTCGTACAAATGTAATTGCTCTCACTTAATGTATGTTTATGTGTTCATTAGATTTAAAAAAGTCACAAAGGCACATCAGTGTTCCTAATGTTTAAAATGGTGCATGTAAATGGTCCATTAGTGTTTACATTTTTGTGATCTAATTATACATTTTATGCTATGAATTTAAACTTAAAGAGTGGCAACACAATCATGTCCCAGTTAAAATATATCATATTAAAAGTCATTTGTTTGTTAAAGACTAGGTTGACGGTGATCGTGTTTGACGGAATATAATTCATTTAAAAAGTTATAAGATTTAACGGCGAATCCAGGGGGTGGTGCCGAAGGGGGCCATGGTCCCATCCCTAAAAAGAAGACCCAATTTTTGATTAAAAAAAAAAAACTATTGTCGCAAAACAAAGCAGCCACTGCGTACACAACCATCTTTTCCTTATAAAATGAATAAAGTGGTCAGAAATTGCCTCAGATCGCACCACAGAGCATCTAGAATCCAAAAGATTTCCAGGGCCCTTAAGCGGTGCCCCAGACCACACGCCGTAATTTGTTTTACGGGGGGTAAACACAAAAAAGTGTGTTCTTGATCCGCCCTTGATTAGATTTATTCAAAATTTGAACAGAAACTTTAACAATGCTGAACGAGTCCTTAAAGTATATTTGTAAGATTAAGTAAGATTAAGTAAGATTAAGTAAGGTTAACAAAGTCACGTAAGTACGCTGGAGTTCCTTAAAGCAATACACGTAACAGTTTCATTCATTGCAAATCTAGGTGATCTAATTACATTTTGTGCAATGAATAGTATAGGTGGCGCTATTCTGGGACGTTCAATC